GATCTCCTTAATTTTTGTTTTGACAAGTCTGTATGGATAATGGATATTACTCTTTCCATTATTTTTATTTGGCATGTATCCTATTATTTTTACTTATTACTTTACGCATATCAAGGGAAGACAATTTTTTTTCCTGTCATACCCACAATATTTATTACTCATTTCAAATTATTTTCTCAAATCTAATAAAATATGCATAAATTAGTATGAGTATCACATCAAATTATGCACTTAATTTATTATTTCTTAAGGAAAGTGAAAAGTCAAAACGTGCCAAGTAAAAGTGAACGGAGGGAGTACGATTTACTCCCTCCGTTCACTTTACTTGTCACGTTTTGACTTTTCACGCTCTTTAATAAATAATAAATAAAGTACATAATTTACCATGGTACCCATATTAATTAGTGTATGGTCTTAATGAATTTGAAAAATGATTTAGAATGAGTAACTAATGCTAAGAGCAAAACACAAAAAATAAAATATTTTTCTCTTGATATGAGAAAGTGAACAAATAAAAGTGAAAATCTATTTTTCGAATAGTGGACAAGTAAAAGTGAATAGAGGAAGTACTTATAGAGTATGATAGTTAAATCATCAAACTTCCGTTTATCAAATATCCATTCCTTAATTTTTAAAAATAATTTTTACATACTTAAAATATATAAAAATATTATAAAGCACAGATTATATATTTAATAAAGTTATTAAAAAATATTAATGAAAAAAATATGCTAGTCACAATAATATTACAAGAAAAAATAAAACAAAACAAAACTGAAGGAGTAATTAGTATTTTCATCGCTCAAGTATTTAATCGGGCGGCTGTTACGCGCGACTCCATATATTTCCCTGTGAGCTCAACCGCACCGTCTTCATATAGAAATAACCATCTCTCATCAATTATTCCTTTTCTTCCCCAAATACGAATTTGGCAGCAATTAGAAATTCTCCTCTGCAATTATGGTTTGCGAAAAGTGTAAGTAGTGTAAATTCTTCTCTTTTTTCCTAAATTCCTTCATTAGCTTCTCTTATGTTAAATGCATGCTTTAACCAAGCAATTTCTGGTACAATTGACTTAGACCTAGGGTTTGGTAAATTTGTATTCTGCAGGTGAGAAGAAGTTGTCGAAGGTAATTGTGCCCGATAAATGGAAAGAAGGTGCCAGTAACACTACTGAAGGCGGCGGCCGTAAGATTAACGAGAACAAACTCCTCTCCAAGAAAAAAAGGTTACTTTTTCATTAATATATATAAAAAAAAATTTGGCTAATCACTTTATGGATTTACCAGGTTAGCTCTTATTTTTACCAGATAACCAACTACTGATTATCATAAAGATGTGCCTGTAATTACCTTATAAGTGGCCTGGTTGCCTAAATATTTTTTACACCATCCGTACATACAACTTAAACTCATTACTTATACTCATCGTCCTGATAGTTAGCTCCTTGAGTATTATTTTTTATTCACCTTCGACCAATTGTAAGAGGAAAAGAAACTAACTGAGATAATATGCTTGCTTTCGTCTAGGAATTTCTGATTTAAGAGTGACGCCGGTTTGTTGAGACTCGTTTTACTACTTGATACATATCAAACTTTCATCAATCATAACTCAATTCCTATCTTCTCTAGTCAGAATTCTAGTGAACTACTTGACATGTACCCCAATAGTCTGTTGTGGGTCCGTTTAGATCTGATTATATAAATTGTGTTTCAGGAAAGATCTGGCATAGTTTTATATGGATACTGTTTGCTGACTTCATATGTTATTGCTTGCATCATTTATGAGAAATTGGATGTAAACTGTTGAATCATGTCGTTAGAGCTTATAGATATGTTATTGTTTGTATCATTTACAAGTAATTGGATGAAGTGTGCGACTGTTGAATCAATGTTGTTAGAGCATATTATGAAGCTAACTTTTTTTTTTATGGAGAAAGGTTAAGAGACATAAAATGAAGCTAGCTTAAGACGGTGAAATATAATTAATTTGGCTGAGATCTTTTTCTTTCTTAGTTAGTTTAATTATGAATGATAATGTTTTGGGTACTTCTTTTAATAGAAAATATTAGGAAAATATTGAATAGGTGATATGGGAGAGGACATAATCCAAAAGTGTGTATCCTACAAGAGAAGTTCAATTTTTTGTTTCATTTTCTAATTTTTAGTTGCAGTTGCACACACTAACATACACAACAGATTCTTGAGCTTTTTAATCTTTGAATTTTCTGAGTTGGATTCACTTATGCTAACTCTAAGGTTGCAATCTTGTGTTTTAGGTCATTTAGACTGAACTATACTCCAGTTTCATATAGTATGAGGATCCAGTTGTCTTATTTAAGAGGTATCTGATATAAACAACAAGAAGTCTTCCTGCTGTTTACTCATGTTATTGGCACCTTCAACGTTGGAACTGATGATTTGAGCTAAATATAACAAGGTCTGCCTAAATTACTGTAGTAAAAGTCTAGAGGATCTAAGGAAATCATTATTAATACTGTATAGGATAGAGATGTAAAGAGATGTGGTGCTGGCAGAATTGTCACTGCAAACAGATAAGACTAGTAAATAAATGACTGGCCAGTGCCTACTGCCTACGGTATGTTATTGGGTCTCTACCAAAGATCATAGAAGGTTGGATACCATGTGAAAATAGGGAAAAAGGGAGAGGGAGACTAATTGAATTGGGCTATTAACACAGAAACGATCATTCTGTTGAAAAGTTTATCTTGTAAATCCTTCTTTCTTTATAACCGTTGTGTTTGAAAAGTTTGTGATGCTGGACTAAAGGGTTTGATGATAGTGGTCAGTACTGACATCACTTTCAAAATTATTGCATGTCAGGACTGAGTTGTGGTTGTAGTCCATTAGCTAGTTACACAAGATTGGTGAAGATAGTCCCTTAGCTGAGACCGGCACTAATTTTGTGAGAGATGAGTGGGAGAATAATGGCATATTGAAAATAAAGCAAAAAGGAATTTCTGGATCATGACATCAAAATGCAACTCGAACGACAAAAAGAAGAAAGACAAATTCAAATGTTTAACATTTGACTATGAATTTTTCGAAATAGTTTAACTATGAATAGTTGTGATTCACCTTACTTTTAAGTAGCAAAAAAGATGCCTTTTTGTCTTTTTATTTACTGGTATGTCCTCAGTAAATTTGGTTTTTTTCCGGAGATTGTTTGTGCAATGTGATGATTAACTACCTTTGCTTCTCTTCTAAAATCTTGAGATGCTGAAGCGCTGTGGTTTCCTGAAGGCTCTGTTAATTGTTATTGGTAATTATAATAAAAGAATGTATAAAGACCATGAGAAATGATTAGTTATTATATTTCAATTTTTGTGTGTAGACCAATGGCTTAGGTTGATAATAGGAAAACCATCTTGGGTAAACATTTTAGTGTTCTTTCTGTAGGTTTTGTTGGTCACTGCTTCAGATTTCGTTATTCGTGATTTTCCCCCCATTATTCCATAATAAGATTATGTGGATACGACTGTAGCTCATTCAGATGTTCTTCTGTACCATTTAGAACTTCGCTATTTTCCTGACTTAAGTATTCGGCAATGTTCATCTTCAATCCAAGGGTCATGTGCTCGAAATCGAACAGCTGCACATTTATTTAGTAATAATTTTTGTTTATAAAACACATATAGGACAATCTGATTCTCCGGGAGTTTCTTTGTATGGGACATGGAATTACAGATGGAGCCCCGCTTGTGGAGTAAGAGAAAGAATGCTATTTACCACGTAGCATAGAATATTGGATCAAGAAGGCTTCTTTTAGACCTTAAAATGAATAGAAGTTTTTGAAACCTCAAATGACAAACTAGAAATCATTGTATTGCAATACTAAAAGTAATAAGCAGATAGCTGAACTAGAGGGGGTCAATTGGTTTTGTTGCCAGTTGCAATCTTTTTAGTTTTACGTCAAATCTCCTAAGAGATCTTTATTTTTACACGTAAGAGATCTAAACTAAAATACAAGAGATCTTTGTAGGGTCATTTTCTTCTATTCAAACTGCAATGGGTTATGTTGAGCCATTTCCGCACTTAGTGCTCTAAAGTGCTTGTGTTTGTGTTACTGCATGAATGCAACAAATTTCATTCTTTAGTTATCAGCATCCTATGGTAATTGGTTGCGTTGAATAAATGCTTTGTATGACTTGTTGGGATATCTACTGCACTTTGATTATGGTTAGTCTTGGGCATTTGCCATGCTCTTGACGTTGTCTTAAGAGAGAACTGGTTGTATTGCAGGTGGACACCTTATGGAAATACAAAGTGCATGATTTGCAAGCAACAAGTGCATCAAGATGGCAAGTACTGTCATACCTGTGCTTATAGTAAAGGTAATGAAGAGTAGTTTGGAATTGCAAATGATTTATATCATTGTAACGTTTCCTTGTGTTCTCTCTGAAGTGTTTTTCTTGTGCAGGAGTATGTGCAATGTGTGGAAAGCAAGTTCTTGACACCAAGTTATACAAACAGAGCAATGTATGATGTGGACATGAACGATCTTACTTCGCTGTTACCTCAGCACTCTTATCCTAGAGAACTGTTCTTCTTTGTGAATGCTATCAAATGTGAGGAGAAGCAGTTAATTCTGTATAATACTTAAGAGGCTGCAGTGATTGAGGAGCTAGAAATTGATCTTTGGAAACATTAATTTCAGTCAATCTTAACTACTAATCAAAAAAAATAATATAAAATACAAAATCAGACAGTCTTCACAATTATTCTTTTGTGCTTTGGTCTCTCCTACCTTTCGCCCACTGCCTATTGTATAGACAAAGGGTTGGATTGTCATCGATGCGTATCCTGAAAGGTTTAAGGGCAGTGCTCTTAGTTCTGTAACTAATTTTGTTAAAAGTTGTGGCTTATGAGCAACCCGGATAGTTTGAATCTTGTTTGCAGTTGATAAATAGCAAAGGAACTAAAAAATTACTTAGATTAGCCTTTATTATTAGCAATGACTCGTGGAAAACAAAATGACCAATTCAGGACATATCAATGACGCCGTTTCTGTCATGACCAGTAGAGGAGATAGTTCAGTACTTCTCAATCTCCTCTGCACCTCTCCCGGGGATTCTCCCAGCTATAAGCAATAAGCGACCACCTGATGATGAAAAATGATAACCACCAATTATCATTAATTTTGTTATTATTGCCTACGTTCGGGTAGACTTTAGCAAATGTAAAAACAGTAAATATGAACATGGAACATGAGATGACGAAACCTCTCTCCAGTCAATTTGTACATGATTATCAACTCTTGTTCATCCTCAGAGAAATTAGTTTTAGCTATCTTTCCTGAAACAAGCCAACAACCATTGGAGGACTACAATGGAACAGGTAACAACAGAAAAACAGAGAAAAAACGATTTAAAAATGAAGGAGAGTTTATATGTAGGTACCCAGAATTAGCAGGAATGTAATTAATGGAAGAGAGGTGATCTGAATCTGGCACTTTGAGTTGAATGCAGGCCAGAATATTGTTGACTAGGGGAGCTAAGTATATATAAGCCTATGCTTAAGGTTATATTATAGTTTAAATTTTTTGGTCCTTTGTGTACGTCCCCTTAGTTTCTATTGTCAACAATATTCTGGCCTGCGTACGTCCCCTTGGAAATATAAATAGCACGGATTTCAGAAGAGAAAATGTAATGCGCTGACTGTTGAATGGTAGTTGATGAAGAACCCCTCCCTCACAAGAATTTCCAAGGTTGCCCAACTGACAATCATCCCCTGGCCACATGCTCCACCCACTGGTCTGGTAGCATTTGCAGCACACACTTGTATTCATGTTGACTCCTAAAATGCTTCTTCAGGCCAACATGGTGCAATAGTGAATTGTGGTTCCACTATGATCTACAGGTTGATTGGAGACAAATTATGTTATAGGTCTTAAGGCCATGTCCATTGTGAATATGCTATTTTGTATTATAGATCGGCTAATATGATGTAATTGCAATCCCTCGTCTAATCTTGTAGCTTGGGTCCCTTTTCAAACTTATACATGACGGTTAAGTAATTGAAGCTAGAAAGAGTCCTGTACGTACGTTCAATTTTTGGTTAAAAAAAATTAATTTTCCAAATTCACTCTTGGTTCTATAACATTCCATTATGACCCTACAAGATGTGTTGGCCGAAAGCAACCGAGAACGAGGTTGCTTTGCCTCGCATTGTCTTTCCAAATTCCAAGAGTTGCAAAGGGACAATCTTGGTTTGGCATATTACCTCCTGTCTTAGTGAAGTTGAGTCTGGTTTATCGCTTTCAGGCTCAAAAGAAACAAATCTACAACTCAAAGAAGATCTTGTTGTTGCAACTAGCTTGTCTAGGGATTGAGCATATATAGTGCTGATTAAAGACACTAGAGACTTTCTTAAGGAGTGCAAGTCCCTGGACAGTAAATTACAAAAGATGATGAGCATTTATGACAAAGATGCATGGGACATTCTAATAAAGAAGGTGCATTGCTGGGAAAACAACTGACTCAAGAATAGAAGATAAAGATGCAAGGTCTTAGCAGAATTCTGAGCGGAGTTGATATAGTTTTTGGCTCCCTTTTTGATGATGCAACAGCCCACGCAGTGTAAAAAATTAAGTAGACACAATTTTCACCGCCAATATGAGGCAGCGATGAGTTAAATTCATCGTGTTGCCATGGAAGTTAGCCCGGGAAACTGATTCCATTATGCAACCAGAGTTCCAAACAGACGAGAGGGGGAGAGTTAACATGTTCCTGAAGGTCAGTACGATGGAAAGTCGAAGCAGATAGAAAACATAAGGTTTAGTGGAGCTAACACTGCCAATTGGTAATGATAGACCTGCCATTATCATATTCACCAGTTAAGAATATGGTACATACAAATACAACATAGCCAAGCCAAGCACGAAGTTGATTGTCTGCTGGAACGCAATCTCTGCTTTCAGAACATATAGATGGTCCGCCACATATTCTAACCTAGCATTACATCAGCAAAATCACCATGGAGAGTGGTACTCATCAATAGAAGCTTGCCCACGAAAGTTGCTCCAAATGCAGTATGATTGCTTCCCGATATGTATTTTGTATAGTTATTCTGAATACTAGTACAGTTGTGACACTAACTGTGACGATCCAAGTTCTATGACGATACTACCAATCTAATAAGCTTTCGGTGTCAAAAAGAATTTTGTTGTCTTCAAGAACGAAACATTAGACTTTTGCTTCATGTGTCAAAACACTTCCATCAAAACTGGTCTCATCCTACACATAACCTTGAGTCAGAATTTTTTTTTTATCTTCGGCGTTTTGATTCCTTGCGCATCTCTGCCACATAGCTTTCGAAGTTGGACTTCTCCCAAAGTCGTCTTTGAATAAGATCTTCCTTGGTTGATTCGTCTGATAAAAGAAGCATGAACATTGGAAGAAATCATAAGCAGTGAGGAAATGAAAAGAAACTTTCATCAAAACACTACATTGGAAGTATGCCAAGTAGCAAAGGTCGAGGAGACATTCGTTAAAAGCATCAGCAGTGGCATATACAGCCTTCATCACTTTTAAGTTTTATATTTCTGAAGATTCACACAGGCATCTAAAATACTTTTTGGTTTCAACTTGGCCATTTATATTATTCAAAATTGCCACTTTGTGGTATCCTTTCATACATTCAGATTAATGCCCATGTCAATTGACGGCTAATACCTAAACTGTCTTGCATGAATTTAACCCAAAAATAAATTGAGGGTGAGTGTGAAGGATCATAAAGAGATTAGGTAGGGGAGAAGACAGAACAACACATGTTGTGTGCTTTATAGTTGGTTTTTGAACTTTTTCAATTTAAATCAACCAAAGTGACAGATATTCTGCATTTGGAGAATAAAAAGGTATCACTGAAATTTCAAAAGTACAAAGCGAATCGATGCAGTGCAGTTAACATCTATGGTTGTTTGCATTTTGGAGAATTTTTTCTTTTTGGTAAATTTCTTTCGCCGCACTTATATCTCTTTTTCTTCTAGAACTTAAAAGTTACCACTTGTGCCTTGATAGCTTCAGAGCAGGCAACTGATCTGACTAGAAGGTCTTTAAGAAGTAATCTGCGATAGCTAAAGATCATGATTACCAACATAGATGGCAATGTGGAAACCTACAACTTCAGTCAATAACTAAAAACCCTAGAGCGTACAGCCGGCGATTTAAGGAAAGAAAAGGTAAACAAAAAGAATGAATATGCCTAGTAGATATCAAAATGAAAAGAAAAATAAGAACTTATTTCAAGGTCCAATTCACCTATTAAAGAGATGGTTTACAATATGCCAACATAGTATAAAAGATTTATATATAACATCCACCAGTTTGGCATCTTCAGATATGAGCACAAACAAACCTCAAGTTTGAATCTACCTCACCATGATCAATTACTTTCAATCTTGGATGTTATATATCTTCTTTTGATCAATTTCTGAAATACAATAAGATGCGAGAATTGCACTGGTCATTGTAAGGAATTCCTCCTAATTAAGCAAGTCAATGGAGGAGTCAGGTATGGGGTGGTAGGATCTACCTCGCCCTTGGATTGATACTCAAATCATTTGGGCCAAATTCATTTTACTATAGCCATATTTTTGCTTAGACAATTAAACTATACAGTGGAGCATTTTTTCTCCTATTTCATCTAATTCAAATCAAACACCCAACACTACCACAGTGTTGTACACAGAGAACATGTTTGAAGATCAGTTTTAGTCTTACCAATAGATATCCATGAATCAGGAGAAACCCTAAGAGACCTTCGTGTCAAATAGGAAGCATCTTCCCATGAGTATGGAGCACGCTTGACATTGTATCTCCAGAACCAACATCCATACCATAGCAACAGCTGCAGAAGATAGAAGAAGAATGTCAGCAACTCTGAATATATGATATCCATAGGCATAAAGTATCTAATTTTAAACCCTCTAGCAGAAGAAACTATAAGCACAAGGAAATTTGGATATCAACAGACAAAGCCAAAATGTCTTTTTATTTCATTGTAATGCATAAAACACAAAACACTGCTACCTTTCCCAGAGTGTAAGGAAGAAGTATAAAACGAATTCCAATTAGTTCCCAAACAGAAGGCTTTTCAGCTCCCTTTATGTCCAGGTTGAGTTCCTTGCTAAGTTCTTCCTCCACCTTCCTGATCACAAATAATGAATTCGGCTGATTAACCCAGATTTAGCAAATAAACAAATTTGAATGCAGCCTATATGAAAAGGCAAGTATATTTCGTCAAGCTACAGCCAGAAGATTCAAATCAGGTTGCATAGTCAATAAACGAAGAGATCTGCTCATACTTGTCCATCTGCTTGTTGCTCTTCTTCCTATTAGCAACTCCTCCAGTGCGTTGAAGCTCCAAACCACGTAGCTTGTTTTTATAAGCTGGTGTTTTCTTGACCATCTCAATAGCCTAGTAAAAGACGAAATCGCAATTTATAACACATGGTGAAGAAATAGTAAGAAGCAAGAAAAAAACTACTTCCATCTCCAACTATAGGTCACTCTCTTCTACTTTTTGTTGAAGTGCAAGGTAACTACATTTTATTTATGCCAGATATTACCATCTCCCAGAATTCAAAATAAGGAGAACTTTTTATTTGTTTTATTTTATTTTCATCATGATGTAACCTTTCAGCAAATTGCACTTCTTTTGGATCCCAACTGCTATTTTGCAATGTTCCCCCCCTAAAAAATAAAAAAACTCACCCAAGATCATTTCCATTGCAACTCAAACTAGGTAGCCGAAAAGTGAGAAAGGAATATGTAGAAAACCGTGGGCCCTGCTATAAAACATGTTATGAAGATTTATGCTTTATGATTTACTGTCGAATTTTGGGGCGTATCTTGGTGATCTATTATTTAAATAGTAAAATTGCAAAAAATGTGGTCTCCTACTCGCCTTAGAATTCAAGAAATAGGTAGCTGCCTCACATCAGTCTTATTTCTATAGGTAATTGGAAGCTACTGAATCTTCAGATGCTCATTCAGAATAGGGGAGAGTTTTGTGAGAAACTGAGAATCGTGGTTCAACTTGCTGAAGCTTTTGTGGCTTCTATAGCGATTTTTGCAGTCTTAGATCAAGGGCATTTAATGTGAATTCACAGAATCTCATCCTTCTCCCTCTTAATTTTTCGGGAATAGGCACAGTCAATGTCGTTAACTTTACCTATTTAAGATTTGCAAAGCATAGCCAGTCCCAAGCCCCGACAAAAGGTGGAGGGTTGCAACAGGTTAATAGCTAGAGTAAAAGTAGTAAAACTATGATTGATTTTTTCTAAATATGGATAGAGGCATGATAATTACTAATTAGATCTCTCTTAGTAATGCCTTTGTTTCTAACATTCTATTGGATCAACATCACCACAAATTTCTCCTTGTTCTCCAAACTCTTTATGGATCAACTCTCTGTTGTTGTCAGTTGTCCTAATTAAACTCCTCAGAATACACTACTTTCTAACGTTCTAGCCACAGAAGAAGACTTGAACAATCCCAAGAATCCCTATTCGCTCAGCTTTCAGTTCTGGTGAATCGTGTACTTATCCTACGATAATAGGTGAAACAGAACAGGGTAATAAGAGTAACATTGGCTAGAGGCTAGAACTGGCCCAACGATGTTGTAGTTCAGCTATTGATTACTAATCGCAAGCATAAATCATCTAAAGATGCATATCGTACACAAATTTGGCAAGAAACAATAATTATCTCCAAACAATTAATCACACCTTGTAAGATAGGAACATAAAATGATGTATCTTTATATCAGCTATGCTTACCAAGACAAATACTCAAGGCAGACAGTCACCTATGCAGAATGATTGCTCATATAATCTCACCGATCATTATAGAGCTATTCTTTTCATTTATTGCTAAGGATCGTGTTGCTCTTAGATCATCAAACTGAAACTTGAGTCATCACTTGAATTTTCAATCATAAAGCCAAAATAAATGGAAGAAATCAAAGCAAAACAAAAATCATGACAGCATTCTTCAGTTTCCAGGCTAGAATTAAAAAGCTCTTTTTTAACCAGTAATTGCTGATGCAGGTAGCAAGTTGAAAGAAATCCTAGCAATGAATGTGTACTGTTACTTTACTTGATTATATCTTGTCCACTGATTCAGATACTGAAATGATGAGAGTATCAGAAGAAGACCAATGAGGACAGCACGGGGATCCTACAATTTAAAACACAAACAGCTAAGTGAGCATAGAATCAACTTAATATGTATCAATGAAATCTCAAGCTCAAAGTTTCACCCATATGAAGTGTTATGGACAAAAGAAAACAAATATCTGGCAGGAAATAGGAAAAGGCTCTCACAGTTTTGTGACCATAGTAAGCATGGTAATACCGTGCCGTATTGTAG